AGAACGACTGATGCCTCGCACTACTTTGTCGACCGAACTGGTAGCGAAGTGTTGTCGTTCGTTCCAGGACGCCTTGAACCGTTTCAAGCCTTGCGAGGAGGCAAGCTCTCGATGTGTGAATGGATTGAAATCATTTGTTCTGTTTCTGAGAGCCGTACCGGGTATCGGTACACCGGTACCACTCAAAGCTGATGACACGATGACGTTTGCCAAGTGCGCGAAAGGTGGGGAACACCCTGTTAAAACCTTGTTTGAAGTGTGTTTGAAGAGGGTCGCGTTTTGGTGACGACGGTACCGATGCCGGTACATGAAGATTTTAGCCATTCGGGCATCGAATCGAAACCTTATTATGTATGGGGGTCAATTCTTGCTAATGTTGGCACAAGTTGTGGGCTTGTACTAGACTACAACAGGTCCTTGAAAAGCTGAAGAAAGGATGCAGCTACGTACGTCATCCTCACGTGCGATGAATGAATGTAACTGCTCTTGTCAGTTGTTTCCTGAGTCCACTGCTGAGCCCAAGAAGACTCTTTCCGCCCAAATCTTCCTGCCTAGATTCCTGAACTTGTTGTATTGAAGGCTTTCGAACAATTTGTCCCTTCTTTGATGGTCAAATGGGGCTGTCTGCGATGCAATGACAAAGTGGGAGCCGTGACGAGAATCATAGGCTCTGTGACACCATGGGGTAGTGCATCAATTTTTGTCCAATTCTTTGGCTTTTATCAACTGGATCCCCGATAGAGTTTATTTGTGGATCTGTTGCTTCTGCCTTCAATCAACAATCAATATCGCCGTTGGCAACAGAAACAAGAGGAACGCTCACGATACGGTAGTACAGGTGATCAGCCAACAAGTGTGCAAGTTTAGACTGTGCGAGCCCAAGGCAAGATGGGCGCACTGAAGGCCATGATGGCGCCCTGAACGAGACCCTTCTCATTGTCAGCCGGTTCATAAAGTTGGTATTTCATTGGCGAATAATCGTGAGAGTAGCCAACCTCTCCAGTTGATTGATTGTTCCGGAAGGGCCGGTGCCAGTACTTTCCATTGAGAAAACTGACAATCTGATCGGCAAGAAGTACCTGGATACAGCGGCCCGGTTTCCTCATTTGTAGAGTGGTGTTGCTATGTTTTAATCTTCTTTGAATTGATATAGCCACTACTGTATGTACATGTATGTTGGCACGTTGGGCTCTGCTCAAGCCAAAGGCGTGACAGGAAAGAAGTTGCTGGCTGGGAAGAACACTACAGTGTAGCATGGATCTTTTACTTCCAAACGTAAACTACTAGTATCGCAGTCATTCGTATCTGCATGAGCCAGGCAGAGTGATTTTGTAAGGAGGACCTTATGAAGTTTGTGTCTAATGTAAATTACTGTGGTATGATTGCACTCTGGAGAATGCGGATCCGTTGTTGTAGTTTTTGTACCGGTACAGGATCCCAAAAGCGTGGCAGTTTTCGCCACGGTTTGTGTGTGCCGTCTCGTGTCATGATGGCAAGGCTTACTTTTCATTGTTACAGGTATTGATTGAACTGGAGGTGGTCTTTGCTGTTGAATGAACAATTCACTTATTAGTATGGAACAGCGGATGCCATGGGAGCATTCTTGTTGTATTGCGGGTTTGCTGCTGGCACAGCTTCCACTTCGACTGGATCTGACGATGCCATCATTGGTTTGCTGGCAGGCTTTGTAGCGCTTTGCACAAAACTCGAAATGAGTCCACCCAGGCCAGCAGAGGAAGCAGGAGCCGCCTGTGTTTTGTCATTGTCGGGAATTCCTGCGGCGTCCATGGGCACAGTGGCACTCGCCGTGGGCACTGTGGCACTTGCCGTGGGCTTGGCACTAGCAGCAGCAGGTGTAGCAGTAGTACTGTATTGCTGTGGTGGCTGTTGTTGCATGGCTGGAGGTGGCGGTTCAGACCTACCAGGAGGATCCATGACGAGTCCACAACACACGGAACAGCCCAATCCACATCCACCCAAAAAGAGAAAGGCCCATCCAAATCCATAGGCAATTCCAAAAGTTCCACCGATCCCTTCATCACAGGCTCCATTGTCGTCCACGTTTCCTGTCGCATACCAGAAGCCTCCCAAGAGGAGCCATCCAAAGTATCCACACGCGACCAAAATATAGGCGGCCATCCAGCCATCGTAACAAAACAATTTCCACATGCGATTGGCTCCTCCTGATGCCGTGTGTTCTCCGTCTCGCGACGGCAAGATGGATTCGTCCTTTTCCACTGCGTATGCCATGTAAAAGGCTGCCACGATATGCACCAGCGAGAGCAACCAAAAGACCAACAACCACAGACTCCCCGGACAACCACCCACCGCATTGGGCAAGTCCATGAGACCCAGTAGGATGGGTGGAAGATTCAATGCTATTGTCACCGTAATGTGACAGCAAAATCGCGACGAGCAGCAGCCAGTGACAAATGCACAGGACTCGCTGCAGCATTGACCGAATCCTTTGCAACAGGCGTCGCACACTTTGCAGGGAAGCAGGCACACTTGACCCACCAAGTCACAGCAGCCGGTGCAGATTTTCCCAATTCCATCACACAATACCAACGCCATATTGTTGCTGCTTGAGGATTATTGATTGATTGATTTAGAAAGTTCTGATGGATTGTAGGGATGAGTGAAGAATTGAGCAATGGAGAGAGGGGAAAGAAGCAGGAGATTGATGGCTTGGTCTTCTACTTCACGGCTATGGAAGTAGTACAGTAAAAGGATTGCTTGGAGATCACAAAATCAAATGTAAGGTTCACTCTGGCTCTTGGTCTTTTTTTGTTTTTTATAGAAGTCAACACAATCGTGAGGAGAGAGCTGCCATCATTTCGGTTTTGGCAAGGGAAGCCAAGCAAAGCGCGATCTTCGAGTGAATCCCACCGTGAGTCCTGCGGTACCGGCATCACGAACAGCTTCCGGGTGACGATCAGTCTGGCGTTGAAACGACCGAGGGTGCGCGAGGGACTTCTACTACTAGCTAGCACAGCTGCTAGCGCACAGAGGACAACCCCTGGGCAAGTTTTTGCGCTGACGAGCGCCCAAAGGAACAACGGAACAGCATCAGGGTGAACAAGCCAAAGGGAATGTAACAAACGCTACAGCAGCTGAGCCATTCCAATAAGCAAGCCCTCAATGATAAAGGAGACACAGAATCAAGATGTTCAACAACAAGAAACCAGCAGCTCCTTTGATGCCTTTGGAATTTTTGGTGAGATGAAAGGGGAGCAAGAGAAGACGGAGATGGAGGTTGTAATTGGAAATCAGCACCCAACCACATTTCACAACAGTCTTGATTCAAAGATTTCCTCACCCCAGGCCCTTAGAGATGATGTCATCAGTAGCATCCAGCCATTCCCAACATCAAATCCACCAGAAATGCATCAAGCAAGAAGGGTCGGAGAGGACGGACCTGGGGTTTCCTCACTCCAGGCCGTTAAAGACGAAGCCATCAATAGCATTCAGCCATTACCTACATCAACTCCACCATCACTGAATCGAGCAAGAAGGATCAGAGAGGATGGACCTGGAGCCTATGCTGTGCTTGGGATCAGACCAATATTTCACCGCCCAAGAAGTAGCCCATTGACTGGAAGGATTCCTGACACAGAAGGGCTGGGACTGGAATTGGTGCCGGCATCTCAAATGGACAGATATCGTGCGGATACTCTGATTCATGCTGACCCAATTGATGCCTCAGAAAATGGGAGGATTCCAACAGCAGAGCCAATAACAACAAGGGCAAAGAAAATTTGGAAGAAGAAACTGTTCCTGTTCCTCTCCCTGGAAACAATGGTTGCCCAAGCAATTGTTTTAATTATTCTTGTGGCACTTCTTCTTGCTCCAAAATCGAGAAATCAAACACAGCCAGTGAAGCAGCAAAATGGAGTGATTCCAATGCAAGAAAATCCAGGGACAATAGCTTCAATCACACAAGCACCACCAACATCAATGTCGCTATGGGAAAGGCTAAATCTACCTGGCTACACCCTCAGGGCTATGGAGAATCCTAGTTCTCCACAGACCCAGGCATATCAATGGCTCAGCAACAATGTCAACAAATCCAACAATACACAACTTCTCCCGGTATGGAGACTGAAGCAAAGGTTTGCACTAGCCACATTTTATTATTCAACACGGGGGGAACATTGGGTAAAAAATGAAGGCTGGCTAGATTGGGATTCCAATGAGTGCAACTGGGAACAAATTACTGGGGACCCAAACCAAGCCAATTATTGTGATGACAATGGGCAACTCCTCTCATTGAAATTTTGGTATGCCAACAACTTGGACGGAACCATGCCGGCAGAAATATCCCTGCTTCACGAGAGCTTGGAAGAACTTGCAATATCTTGGAGCTACCAGCTCAAAGGAAGCATACCAACAGAGGTTGGGCTTATGACAAGGCTGACACTCTTGTGGTTTACCACAACTCACTTGTCTGGCACACTACCAACAGAACTGGGTCGGCTACGAAACTTGGAGAGACTATGGATCTCAGGTAGCGAATTTGATGGGACTTTACCTACTGAGCTGGGCAACCTTAGCAACCTGACAGAACTTGTATTCGATAAAGCGAGGTTTTCTGGTATGCAAGGGAACGGGCAAATCATTGCAGAAATTCCACAGTTTGACTCATTGACTCACTTGATATATTCTGCCTACACAGGGTCAATCCCCACTGAGATTCTTGGATTGTCGAACCTGAAGACCTTGGGTTTCTTAGAGTGCCCTTTGTTGGATACAGCATCTTTCCTCTCTGAGGTGGTTGAAAACCTGCACAATTTGGAGTCGCTGAGTCTACGCTATCAAAAACCTGTGGGGTTCACATCAATCCCATGTAAGTGCCATTTGTTCTTTTCTTTGTCTTTTGCTTTCTGGTTGCTGAACAGTTTTTCTTGGAATTTTGCTCTGAACAGCTGAAATTGGCAGGCTGACCAACCTGGTAAATCTTGTTTTCACTGACTTTCAACTCAATGGGACAATTCCAAGTGAGATGGGATTGTTGACAAAGCTCGTAAGTCATCATGAAAAAATTTTGTTTGGATTGGTTGCTCTATGCACTTAGGGAGTTATTTGTATCAATCCTTTGCAGAACTGTTTGAACTTGCAAAGGAACTCCATCACTGGCACATTTCCAGAAGAGTTATCAAAGATGTCCCGTGAGTTGTCTTCTCAAACCAGATTTGCTAATTTCATCTCATGCTCATGCTTTTTCATTTGTCTGCTCTACCTGAAGAGCTGAAAGTACTGCGCATTTGTTCCAACCAATTAGAAGGCAGACCACTAGAACAAGATGTGTTCCCCCAACTCACCCAGCTACAGAAGTTGCATATCAATGACAATCTTTTCTCAGGCTCTATTGCAACAGGAATTGGTTTGTGGTCTAGCCTCAAGAAGCTTGAACTGCAAAACACGAAAATGTCTGGCTCTCTTCCGACGGAACTGCTTTTGTTGGACAACTTGACCAGCTTGGTCGTGATGAACACATCCTTATCTGGGAGCATCCCCGTGGGATTATGTGGTGTCATACTCACGCCAAGTGAAATGAAACATTTTGGTGGGAAACGCTATGCTGTTCCAACAACCAACCTGTCAGTCTGCTATGGAACTAATCTTTGTGGCTGCAGTTGTGCTCCTTGCTTCTGAACTAACTAACCGACTCGACCGGACTCTATTCTCTAGCTACCGGTAGTCTACTAGAGCCTGGCTAGTACTAGGTACAAGGTGCAGATGGGCCCTTCAAGCCTCATCATCGTACTCTGGGATGGGTTAGGTCCATGTACAGGGCAGCCCGATCATTTTGGTCCAAGTGCGACGAGAACACCGTGGTCGGAGGGGCCTTTGTTTTGGTCCTTGCAGATGCAAAAGGGCGGGCACTATGTCCCGTTTGCTTTTTGACACTGACAAAGTGTGTTGGTAGCCGCATTGTCAAATAAGTTTGATGAAAAGTCCCACAGCTCAGGATTCGCTCGAAAAGGATACGAATGTACGAATGCCGAGAATTTTTGAAGGAATGCTGGTAGGACCACTTACTTAGATCGTCCTATTGGGCGAGGTCCTTTTGATTTTGAGTTGCTGGCTTTTCCTGGTTGAGAATTGAGAACAATAAGTTCTCTGGCCGGGCATCTTGCATGATCTTAAAATCTGTATCATGCGACTTCTTTGACTCTCCTTTCCTATGCTGGCTGGATGGGCCATCCGATGGAAATCGCTTTCACGAGAAGGTAGCAACTGTATGATAGGGACAATGTCATGATACACTCGAAACTCGAAGATGCCAAATATACCAACCATGCACCCATGGATTGCTACTAGCTAGTCTACCGGTACTACATTGTCATGTAATGGGACAGCAGGCCATATCCCCATTTCCGACAAAACCTAGTCAATTGGTTCGATTTGCTGAGGGTGTCTTGTAAAACATGTTGGGGTAGATTTCGCATTGCCCCGGCCATTCAGTCAGCTGCATTTCGACAAAGTTGCCAGCTGCCTTCAGTCTGTCAACGCACCATTGATGGACTTTCGTGAAACCTCGCTTATGGCTTCAGTTCCATCTTCTTGCTGGACCTAAGCGACAGCTGGGCAGCTTCACAACCAAATAAATGAAAGCTTGGGGATCCGGTGACATCCAGAAAGGCTGTTCATACAGTTTAATCGATAGTGGAAGGCTGGAACTGGAAGGTGGGCTATTGCTATACCTGGTTAGTAACCACCCAACCTTCAGAAAGGTTGGTGATGAGTGATGAGAGCTGTCGACTTCGAATTCGAAGGTTGCGGATTGATAGTGGTGACACCAAGGGGCTCACCTTGGAACACGTAATTCTCCATTAAATTTTTCTGAGTTGTCCAACCTCCACTGGTCACATCCTTAAATCACTCTGGTCACCTGACTCTCAGACGGTCACTATAACTTCGAACCAATAAGTATTAGTCTTAATAGGCTTCGGAAGAGCACTTCATTGACGTTCATCTGATATATTTTTAATTAACGTTCAAGACAACTAAAAACGTGGAGGAAGCCACGTTGCCCTTGAAGCCGGATTTCTTATTGTATCCCTCACATTTTCATTCAGATTCTCTCGCTTTGGTGCCAGCACTATGCATACCGACAAGCTAGCTACTACAGTAGAGCAGCCGCCAGCAATGCAACCACAAGTTAGCCAGCAGCTACGGCAACTGAAGCTAAGAAGCCCACTTTTGCATTGTCCAGGAAGGCCCGGATACGAGATCCTCACTTTTTTCTGTTGTCCTCGAGCCAATACATTCATACATATTGTCACATACGGTAGGTCACATAGAAAGAGCAACGAACGTTAGCAGCAGTATCTAGACTATCTATCATGTTCAGCACTAGCAGATCCTCCACCGCGGTGAATAACCATGCCAAAGCCAAGGATGCTCCCACGCGTCGCATGGACCGCAACGACAAGATGTTGCTGAGAACGTCGGATTGGGTAGACAACTCGGAGAAGAGCTTGAGACTCGAAGACAAGGTCTCTTTGGCCGATGCCAAAGCGGCCTTTCTCCAAGGCTTGGTGGTCTACGTGGGCAAGGTTCACTTTGCCAGGGGCACGTACGTGGGCATTCAGCTCACGGGTCCTTCTATTGGGCGTGGAACGTGCAATGGTGTCTACCAGGGAAAGAAATACTTTGCGGATGTCGGCAAGAACAACGGGATCATGGCACCCATCAACAAGGTACACCGGCGGTTGGCCATGAAGACGGGAGATCCCTTGGTGGATCGAGCGCAGCAACGAAGAGCTTCGGAAGAAGCCCGAATGGCCGACTTGCAGTTTGTCGATGCCCTCACCGAGTCACGTTCCTTGGCCATGCTCCGGGAAGCGGAAGAACGTCACAACAAGAAAACCTTGGCGGGTCTCATGGGAATGGTCAAGGAAGAAACCCACATTACGCGTCTCAAGCAACTCCGTCTCGCCGAGCTCATGCGCAGTCGCGGACAAGATCCCGACTATGTCATTACGGCCGTGGAAGGAGATATCAATGCCCCCGATCTCAAGTACGCGTCGCGGGATTCGCCCCTGCAGCAGTGTGATTTGGATCTGGCCGAGGGACTCGAGTATACCCAGCAGAACTTTTGTCTCTCTGATCCCACGTTGCCGGACAATCCCATTACGTTTGCGTCCCAGTCCTTTCTCAACATGACGGGGTACGATCTCAATGAGATTCTCGGGAAAAATTGTCGTTTCTTGCAAGGGGACGAGACGGATCAGTATGCCGTCTACCGCATCCGACTCTCCATTGAAGAAGGATCCGATTGCCACGTGTGCTTGACCAACTACCGCAAGGATGGGAGCAAGTTCTACAACCGCCTCTTCATGACGGCGCTGCGTGATACCAAGGGTCGCATCAAGAACTATTTGGGAGTGCAGTGTGAAGTCAGCAAAGAAGTGGCGCTGCGTATCAACAGTGAAGAAAAGGAAAAGTTGGAGAACCGACTGTATGCGGCCCGCATGAAGGCCACCGAGGAGATGAGCGAACACTCCACGAGCCAGCATGGCAGCAACCCGAGGAGAAGTACCACCAGTGGTGGTGGCCTCCGGGGCAGCGCCAATTCGACGACCAGTCGTGGTGGTGACTTGAGGGGCAGCGCCAATTCGACTACCAGCAATGGCATGCCACGAGTGAGTAGTCGCGGCAGCCTGACAAGTGTTCAAAGCAGCGGAAGTTCCGGTGTTCGACGCTCCAGCAGCAAGGGCAGCTTGTCCGGGCAGCCGCAGCAGCAGCAGAGCACTTCGGGTAGCAGCAATATCCGTCGTTCCACCAGCAGGAACAGTTTGGCTGGGTATCAGAGAACCACGAGCCGGGGTCATCTTGCCGGTATGGGTGGTGAGAGCGACAGCGCGAGACGATCCACCACAAGGCGAAGGTCCGTCGGAGAGTTCGATGTTGGCGTCGACATTGACGAACAACATTACTACAAGGAGCTGGATCATGCCCACAAGCCACCACGTCGTCTATCGGCTGATTACAGCACTGCTTCACCGACTTCGGAGTCGGTTGGATCCATGTCGTATGCCGATACACTTGATCCGGAGGCAGATGTAACTGCAGAAGATGTTGCTGCCTTGTATGGATCCTAAGCCAGTTAACTGCAAGAGACACTCATTGGCCGATCTCTTCCTCGCTCGCAACCTCCCTCCTCCGATCGCCCTCGACTCGACTCACAAGAAACACATTCCCTCATCACACACACAAACCAATCGAACTCGTTTCGTTTCGTACACATACATGCACTGCACATATTGAATAACAAAATGATAATACAAAGCTACCAGGTACACAGCGCAATATGAAGTATGTTCCCTTCTCTATGCAGTACTAGCTAGGCATGTAGAGAGCTACATGTAGCTACCTTTCCACCGGGCGTTCGTTTGTTGTTTCGCGATCCATCATCCTTTGGTGAGGCCAGATCGAATGGCACGAAGAAACCGTTTTCTCTATCCAGCGGTCCCGGGTCGTGTAGAAAGAATAATATGAGATTAACAGTGCTGTGCCCGTCGCTCGGGATGGTGGGTACGGCGGTGGGATGATGTGGCTGTAGCGGGAGAAGGCAGCAGTGATGAGTCAGCAAGGCCTCTGGGGCAGACTGAAACAGACTGAAGCATGGGGCCAGAGCGGAAGAGGGCATTGAAGCGGTCAGAAGTATTGTTAGCGCCGCATTTTCGGACCTGTAGCTAATAACTACATGGCTTTGTCCTCTAGCAACTAACCATGCGATCTGTCCCTAACTAGCTAGATTTATTTCGTACACGGTCAGTGTCCACCTTTCAAGGAAGTTGCAGAAGCCCTACAAAGTGGAGGCATCCGCTCTTGAAATAAGATGGATGCTCCAGGTTCGGCTGCACCAAACACAGAGACCCCTGTGTGGCTTGAAAGGGGGAAAAGGTGTGCTTAAAATTCCCTCGCAATGACAACCATTTGCTTGTGTCCCATGGTGTGGTCTCCTTGCCACATACAACTACGACAACTGTGGCTCCAGACTGGATTTGTAGAGTTTGATCCAAAAGTCCTTTGTCAGTCGTTCGTACTCATAGTACTCTAGTGGTCGGGACATGATGCGGATATACTCCTGTTCCAGCCACTGAGGAGTAAGGTTGCTGTAGGAATCAATCATGGCCACGGGTAGATTGTCCAATGTCCGGTACCAACCGTCATCTCGATTCAAATGTTCAATGACTGGAATCGTCCCCATGTACATGGCCTCCCAATGTCGATAGCAATCCATCCCCATTCCAGACGGACTGAGAATGAACTTGGAACGGCGCAGCTCCTTTCGGTACTCGGTAAACCCATATTCCTTGAACGAATTCCGCACCACCATTCCCTCCTTTCGAAAGTTTTTCGATACGATATCATACATGCGTGATCGGGTCTCGGTTGGAGAACTGTTGATCATCAACAGCTGCGGTCGTGGATCGAGTCTATAATATTGTCGTGCCGCAGGAAGTGGTCGCGGTTGATTTTCATATAACACTTGCATGAGATCCTTCCATTCGGAATCGATAGTCACCATTCCCAGTGGTATGGAATGTACCTTGGGATGATTCATGATTTGGAATTGAGTCGTAATGACAGCCTTGGTATTGGGATTGTCCAAGTAGTCGTCAATATCTCGTCGTGAGCAACCCTGCTGTTGCCACGAATGTTCCAAATCTTCGGTCCAATCCACCGTCTTGTTGACGACCGTTTGCGAGAAGGATCCCCAATTCTCGTTGAGCCCCAAAATCATAATGTGCCCATTACTTGGATCGTGCTTGGCATATTGGTTGTTGTTGTTGTCTGCCTGTCGCGCTGCCTTGTAGTGTCGTTCGTATTTGCGAAATGCCTGAGCCATGCGACACACATTGTCACAATAAATGTAGCGACCATGCAAAAAAACGGATGGATCTGCATTTTGCTTTTGTTCTTCCGGGACCACGTACAAGGGTTGTTCCTTGGCATCGATTCGAAAGTAGGCGAGGAATGCTCCGTATTCCCTAGCTTGGTCTGGCGTGCCCCATACCAATGCATTGGAGTAATTGACCAACTGTTTCATTTGTTCAAAGTGGTACTGGTAAAAGTTGGATGCCTTTTGAGCCAACTCGGCATTGTTGGGGTCGTTCAAAACAGCAAAGGCTACCGTTTCCCTTGTATAAGGATCGCCTCTGATCAATTCCTCTTTGGCTGTTGTTGTGTTAGTGTCTCCATCTTGCTCATTGTCCGTAGTTTCTATTGCTGTTTCGGAGCGTCGCAGTTGTTGTTTTGGTGTTGTTTGGGATTGTTGTTGTTGTTGTGGTTGTCGTTTGAGTTTGAGTTGTTCTTTGACTTCTCGCTGTCGTTTTCGTTTGTCCGATCGTTCCCTTTTCCGTTCGTCGAGCCGATCCTCTTTTTCCTTCCGACTCTTTCTTGTCGTTGGTGGTGGATCTTGTTGTTGTTGTTGCCGAATACTATTAATAGTAGTGCTCGCAGTTATGGGAGGTTTCCACACTCTAGCTTGCGGCTTGTTGGCCCGTTCTTGCTCAATTTGTTGCTTGAGCTGATGTACGAGTTCTTTTCTATCGGCTCCACTGTTGGGTTTTTTCACTTGTTTTGGATCCAGTCTCAATGAAACAGAAGTCTTGCTCTGCTGTAGTGGTGGTGGTGGTTTATTCTCTTGCTTGGACTTTTGTTTGTTGTTGTTGTTGTTGTTGTTGTTGTTGTATGTCTGATGATCGACCGAGAACAGAGGAATTCCCCAGTTGGAGTACTTTTGGCGTAACATGGCTTGTCCATCGGGTACCACCAGCTTTTTCTTCATCTTGGTATCGTCATTCATCTCCAAGGAACTTCTGATTCCCGCAGAGGAAGATGGTTCCAGTTGCGTGGGAAGCTCAAAGTAATCCAAGACATACGAGAATGATCGAGAATTGTAGTAGAAACCAGAAGAGGAAATCACTACCGCCACGAACAACGAAATGGAAAGGGACGCCTTCCGAAAACACATCCTGCAGTCTTTGGAAGTTTCAATACATGTAGTGGGAACAGTTGATGGTACTTTTACCATGGCGAGTGGAACCAATCTTCTCTTGTCTGTTGCTTTTCACCCAGTCAATCAATTGATGCACAGCTATCTAGAACCAACCAGAAGCTACTGTACAGTATTGAACATTCAATGCCAAGACAACAAGAGCTGCAACAACACGGCTCAACCTTGCGACAAGGAATCCAGTCTTCTATGCAAACAACGCGGCACCGCCATCTTTGGCCTCATCAAATTTTTCTCTCAGTTTTCCAAACCCGAAATCTTTTACAAATAGTGACTCGACTCATACTCTCCAGGATTCGTTTTCGCGGAACTGGCACTGTTTAACGTCCCTCCAAAACCCGGCCGACTTGTTCGTTGCCCTCACACAACTCGATCTCACCCAACAACTAACTTTCATCTTCCCACACTTTTGAGGGAACCTCGATCGACCATGGAGGACGACCCGGAGAGCGGAGGACGGCGGGGTAGCAATGGCTCTTCTTCGTCCTTTGTGAGGGTACCACTCACGGTACAGGATCTCGATGTCGAAGACGCCGAAAGTCATGTGTTTGCCGCGGTGGAATCCAGGCATCACAGAGGTTCGACGGCATCCTCTATTCTTGTACAAGACGGCAATAATAATGACGAGTCCAAACTTTTTCGAGCTCTCTCCTCGTCTTCTTCCGTCAAACAACAACCACAACAGACAGACAGAGCTCGACTCGAGCAAGTGGCTGAGCGTGTCAAACGCATGAATCGAGTCAAGGCCGTCGCGGCACTCAAGAGGAAACGACGGCAATCGTCGGCACGCAATCTACTCTTGGATATCCAAGAAGAGGACGATACGGAAGCCATTCTCAATATCACAACACCAGCAGCAACAACAGATCATCATACCAACAATCATCCGCATGAAACAGATGGACTCATGAAAGACACTATTAAGGAGAATCCCTACGCTGCTGACTTTGATCATCATTTGTTAAAGGCCAAATTGTCGAGCAGCAGCGACGATGAGGAGGAGGAATCCAATAGACAACAACAACAACAAGTGCCACTGATCCCTCTACCAATGCGACGACATGTTCGAGCACAGTCAGTGCCCCTAGTCTTTGCCACAAACAGTTTTCACAACATTAGTGGTTCCCAAAAGAGACCCTCCTTGTATGAGACGAGACCCTCCTTGCCTCTCCATGAACCCCCATTTCAGCGACACCCAGCATCCGAAGGCTATATTGCGACGGGTCATGACGGATTCCTCGATAGTATTCACATCAACCCCAGCTTTACCAGCAACAATTCATCTGTGGTGGGAACCACCACCAACAACAACAATGATGGCAATGGACGACGACATTCCAAACTAGACACGGTCCTCGAAGGATATTATTCTCCCTGTTGTGGCAATCCGGCTCGTGTCAAGCATTTCTTTCCTCGATGGATGCGGGAAGTGGGCGCCATGTGTCATCCCTACCGTGTCGCCACCAACTGTCATGATATCTTGGTGCGCTCCTTTTTCCTCTGGGTGGGAGTACCGTGTCTGCTCGCGTCGGCGGTCTTTTATTATCTGCTCGACAATCCAGTCGTCACGTTTCTACCGGGCAATATCACGGCGGCATGGTGGCTGCTCTTTGCCACTCGACAGACGGTGACATTGGGCATTGCGCGATTGACCGTTTATGTGCTCGTCGATGGGTTCATGCTCGGTACGCGGTTGGCCGTTCAGACGCTCGGGCCACTCCTGACGTTGATTGCGGCCACCGGCAAAGGATGGCCTCTCATTCTGTCCACGTGGGGTGTTTGGAACTTGGTGCTCATGCACGGGGACCATTCCTTTCAGAGAAATTGGATGTATTGGACAAGAATGGGACTCTTTAATCAGCATTACGAAGGACTCATGTTGAACAGCGGCTTGTATACGCGGGTGCTGCTGTCGGCCGTGTTGGGAGGACTTGCAGGTGAGAAACAACGTACCGGTAGTACAGTGCAGACAGAGACAAGCAGCTTTCCCCTTTTTGAATCGCACCGATACGGTAGACTCATGGTTGCTCTCTTCT